GAGAGAGAGAGACAGAGACACACACATTCACTTGTATAATTTTTGTATATAACATACAGGATGTACGTATATATAAAAAAATATAAATTTTACATATTTTTCGTCTATTATTTTTACAACAGTTATACAATGTCATTTTTTCTTATATTTCATTGAAAAAACACTTATATCCTATTTGTTAAGGAGCTACAACCATGGCAAAACGAAGGTTCTCGAAGAAGAAAAACTGAAGGAGAAGCTCTGTTATTGGTCGACTGAGAAGTAGAAAGAAATGAATTGTTGTACAGTATTACTAACTAACTATTGTATTTATACTACCACTAACTAAGTAACTATATGTAGTTACAACTAATTACACTTAACTAATAAATAATTGGGCCCCACTATACTTACCACTCCCCCTCAAGCTGAGGGATGAAATACATCTTTCATTCCCAGCTTGTTTAGTAGATATTCGTGTTGTGGCTTGCATAGACTCTTAGCTAACAGATCTGCCAGCTGCTCAGTTGTTATGACATGTTGAGTTTTAATTAGGCCTTGAACTAGTTTTTCTCTCACAAAATGACAATCAATGTTAATGTGTTTGGTTCGTTCATGGAAGATAGGATGAGCTGCAATTTGTATAGCAGCCTTACTGTCACAATGCAACTGTATAGGCTGAACTAGTTCAGTTCCCAACTCCTTAAAGAGTCCTAATATCCACACCACTTCTGCTACAGTAGAGGCCATATTTCGAAATTCAGCTTCAGCAGAGCTCCTGGACACAGTTCCATATTTTTTTGTTTTCCATGATATTAGTGATTCACCAAATTTTACTACTTAGCTTGTCACTGATCTCCTTGTAACTACACGTGCCCCCCAATCAGAATCGCAGTATGCATACAGAGATTTGCTTGCTTTTGCAGATATAAACAGTCCAAGTCTAGGGGCAGTTTTTATGTATCTCACTACTTTTTGAGCAGATTTCATGTGAGACACCTTAGGTGCATGCATATACTAACTAGCACTTGAACTCCAAAGACAATGTCAGGCCTTGTAATGGTCAAGTATAACAACCTTCCAACTAGTCTCTGATAGCCTCCATTGTCTTCAAGTTCTCTATCCACTATAGACCCAGCTTCTGGTATTTTCTTGTCAAACTCAATGTATGTGAGCATGTGATTGAACTCCACAGGTGTTGTTGCTAGCTTTGCACCTGCTAGCCCTAGTTTAGAGACTAGTTCTAGAGCATACTTCCTTCGGCATATAACAATTCCTTCCTGAGATCTAGAGAACTCAACCCCTAGAAAGTATTTCAGTTCACCAACATCTTTCATCTTGAACCTCTCCTGCAAATCCTTCTTGACTTTTTAGATCAGTCTTAGATTGCTCCCAGTCACTAGAAGATTATCTGCATAGACAAGGATGACTACTAATTTTGAATCCATCTTTTGAGTAAACAAAGAGTAGTCATAGTGACTTTGAGCAAATCCCATATCTATAAGAGCTTCAATTAGTTTCAGATTCCACTGTCTAGGTGCCTGTTTAATCCATAGAGTGACTTATGCAATCTGCACACATGCTAACACTCCCCTGGCTTGAAAAGCCATCAGGAATATGCATATATACCTCTTCAAGAAGATATCCTTGAAGGAAAGCATTGTGAATATCCATTTAGAACACACACCATCCTGAAGCAGCAGCCAAGCAACCACAACTCTCAGAATAACCATTTTAGCTACATGAGAGAGTTTCTGTGTAGCCTAATCCTTCTTATTGACTATAACCTTTGGCCACCAACCTGGCCTTATGCCTCTCCACTTCACCAGATGACTTGTATTTGACTTTAAACACCCACTTACAGCCTATAGGAACCTTGCCAGGAGGGAGAGGAATAATAGACCAAGTGTTGTTTTCTCCAAGGGCTGTGATTTCAGCTTTCATAGCCTTAACCCACTTGGGATCCCTACTGGTTTCTAAGAAGGATTAGGGTTCCACAATAGCTGAAAATGCAGCAAGAGAAGCTCTATAGGCAGAGGACAGCTTATAATAGGCCACATAGTTTGATATAGGATATGCAGACTTAGCTGGTGGAACCACATAATCAGCTAGCCACACAGCTGGTTTGGTAGTCCTTGATGATTTTCTGAGTGCTATAGAAGGAACAGAAGGTTCACCAACTGCGACATGAGTAGAGATTGGTGAAGATAGAATAGGCTGGCCAAGATCTAGAGGAGCTGAGATGAAGCAAAAAGAATCAGTAGAGTGTTGGCTAGGTGAAGCTGCAGAATACTGGCTAGGTGAGGTTGCAGGATACTCAACATCATCAAGGTCAACAACTGGTTGTGGAGGTTGTTCTACAAACTCTAAGACAAGAAATAACGGAGAAGCACCAGAAGTCATATGCTTAAAAGGGAACACTTCTTCTTTGTACATTATGTCCCTGTTAACAAAGAACATTTTTGAACACAGATCATAGAGAATATATCCCTTATGAGGTGAGGAATACCCCATGTGAACAACTGGAATTGCTTTGGGACAGAATTTGTCTCCCTTCTTCCTGGTAGTGGCATAACACAGGCTGCCAAACATTATGTGCAAGAGCTTTGATGTACTATACCTTGAGTTCTCAACAATATCTACATTTGGTCATTAAAGAACTCTGTGCCATTGTCTGTTCTTAGACATTTGAGTTTGTGATCAAACTGTGTTGAAACCACTGCTATAAAGCTTTTGATTACCTCAACTGTATCTGACTTAGAATGCAGTAAAAATAACTAGGTAAATCTGGAGTAATCATCTACCAAGTTTAGAAAATATCTCTTGCCATCATGTGTAGGCACCCTATATGGCCCCTAGACATCACCATGCACAATATCAAAGATATAATTAGAGCAAGGAGAGCTAGTAGGGAAAGGTAATCTTGATTGCTTAGCAATAGGACACACAGTACAATGATGTTCCTTCAGTTGCATATTATGTAAAGCATCTACAGATCTCAAAACCTTTAAAGGAGCATGTCCTAATATTTGATGCCACAAAGAAGATACATCACAAGCCTTACTATTTGCTAGATTACTACATTTGTTGGTGTCACCTGGAATGGTATGTGAATTGGAATGAGTTCCTTGGTGATGAAGTATTGCTCTGTCTTCTTCCTTGAGAATATACATACCCAACTCTCCCTTACCAATCCCCAACACCTTCCCACTTGAGAGTTCCTGAAAGATACAGAAATCGGGGTAAAATGCTGCTAGACACTGCAACTCCTTTGTGAGTTTGGACACTGAGAGGAGGTTATGTTAAACTCTCGAATGTGAAGAATATTCTGAACCCTCTTATTTTTGAAGAAAGAACCAATACCAGTATGAGTAGTAGACACTTGTTCTCCTGTTGGTAAATAAACTTTACTCCTAGCATTTTCTGGTATTTCATCATACTTCTCTAGTAAGTGCAAACTATGAACCATGTGATTTGTTTCTCCTGTGTCTATAATCCAGTTACTATGTATTAGGCTTGTCATACATGCATGTGTACTACCTGTTGTTCCTGCAGTGACATCATTGACAACTTGTTCAACTTCCTTATCCTTGTTTTGCAAATGCAAAATCTGTTGGTATTGCTCCTGAGTAAAGAAGTGAGCTAGACAAAATAGTACGAAGACGAATATAAGAAACTAATTACTTTGTAGTTTTTCTTAGCAATAAGTTTATTATGTTGTCATTTTTTTTACTCTTCAATAACTAAAAACAAATTCCAATGCTTGGCGTTCTCCACGAGTTGTACAACCAACTTAAAAGGAAAATCATTTATTACCAATTTGTCACCTTAAATAGCATACAATCATCGTTCAATCATTCAAATTATGAGATTTATGTTGAATGACGAACTTAATAGATCAGTCGAAGATAATCTTATACCTAACGAGCATAGAGAGTTAATTAGATTTGGCATAATTGGCTAGCGAAAAATTTTGTTATTATGAAAAGATTAATAGAACGGAAATAAATATGCTTAAAGGGCTTGAGCTCCGCACTCGTATTTCAATCTTGATGAACAGAGGGAGGTGATATATCGAAGTGTTTTGGCTCACGTTTAGTCCTAACAATGGTTGATGATATATAAAAATGTCTCGGCATATTGTATAAGAAATAGATAACAATAATGACTCTCATATATTAATGTATAGTATAACCAGAAAGGTTTATACATATCTATATTTATATCGTATAGTTAGGAATCCTCAAGTATAAAATATTTTTCATTTGAGTTTAATTTATAACGTTAGATTTACTTTAATAAAATTGTATGTATAGATATATTTATGATGTTATATTTAGGGATATTATCACTTTTAGCCCGCGCCAGAAATTATTTACATTTGATAGCCGAAAAAGTGTGTAAAACTAGTATAATTTTTGTGTGTGTGTATATATATATATACATACATACATATACATATATACATATATATATATATATATATATATATATATATATATATATACACACACACACACACACACACACACACACACACACACATTCACTTGTATAATTTTTGTATATAACATACAGGATGTACGTATATATAAAAAAATATAAATTTTATATATTTTTCGGCTTTTATTTTTACAGCAGTTATACAATGTTATTTTTTCTTATATTTTTTCATTGAAAAAACACTTATATCCTATTTGTTAAGGAGCTACAGCCATGGCAAAATGAAGGTTCTCGAAGAAGAAAAGATGAAGGAGAAGCTCTGTTATTGGTCGACTGAGAAGTAGAAAGAAATGAATTGTTGTATAGTATTACTAACTAACTATTGTATTTATACTACCACTAACTAACTAACTATATGTAGTTACAACTAATTACACTTAACTAATAAATAGTTGGGCCCCACTATACTTATCACCCCCCTCAAGCTGAGGGATGAAATACATCTTTCATTCCCAGCTTGTTTAGTAGATATTCGTGTTGTGGCTTGCATAGACTCTAGTTAACAGATCTGCCAGCTGCTCAGTTGTTCTAGCATGTTGAGTTTTAATTCGGCCTCAAACTAGTTTTTCTCTCACAAAATGACAATCAATGTCAATGTGCTTGGTTCGTGCATGGAAGATAGGATGAGTTGCAATTTGTATAGCAGCCTTACTGTCACAATGCAACTGTATAGGCTGAACTAGTTCAGTTACCAACTCCTTAAAAAGTCCTGTTATCCACATCACTTCAGCTACAATAGAGGCCATACTTCGAAATTCAGCTTCAGCAGAGCTCCTGGACACAACTCTGTATTTTTTTTATTTCCATGATATTAGTGATTCACCAAATTTTACTACATAGCTTGCCACCGATCTCCTTGATTCTACACAGGCCCCCCAATCAGAATCGCAGTATGCATACAGAGATTTGCTTGCTTTTGCAGACATAAACAGTCCAAGTCCAGGGGCAGTTTTTATGTATCTCACTACTCTTTGAGCAGCTTCCATGTGAGACACCTTAGGTGCATGCATATACTGACTTAGCACTTGAACTCCAAAGGCAATGTCAGGCCTTGTCATGGTTAAGTATAACAACCTTCCAACTAGTCTCTGATAGCCTCCCTTGTCTTCAAGTTCTCTATCCACTATAGACCCAACTTCTGGTATTTGCTTGTCAAACTCAATGCATGTGAGCATGTGATTGAACTCCAGAGGTGTTGTTGCTGGCTTTGCACCTGCTAGTGTGACGACCCGACCCGTCGTCTCATGTATTACAGCCCCGTTTCCCCCATTTACTGCTTCTTCATGTTTCATTATCAGCAACGGGTGAGTTATAGTTGAATTGAATTGGTTTGGATAGGAAATGAGACACTTAGTCTCTTTAAGGAAGGCTTAAGTTGGAAAAGTCAACCGGACGTTGACTTATGAGTTAGAAGGCTCGGATGTGATTTTCGGTGATTTGGTTAGCTTCGGGGGATGATTTGTGACTTGGGAGTGCGATCGGAATTGATGTTAGAGGCCCGGTGTAGAATTAGGCTTGAATTGGCGAGGTTAGTATTTTGGCGAATTTCGGTTGATAGGTGAGATTTTGATCCGAGGGTCGGAATGGAATTCTGAGAGTTGCTGTAGCTTCATTAGGTGATTTTGGATATGTGTGCAAAATTTCAGATCATTCGGAGGATTTTTGGTCGGGTTTTTGATCGAATGCGTAATTCGGAAGTTTTTAAGAAACTTAGGCTTGAATCCGATGTGATTTGATGGTTTTAGCGTTGTTTGAAGTGTTTAAGGATTGGAACAAGTTTGAATAAGGTATTAGGATGTGTTGGTGTTTTTGTTTAGGTCCCGGGGTCCTCGGGGTGAATTCGGGTGGTTAAACGGAAGGTTTTTGGAGTTAATTGCAGGTTCAACCTTGCTGGTATCTGTTGGTTTCGCACCTGCGGTTATGGGACCGCAGGTGCGGTCTCGTTGAAGCGATTGGAAGATGCGCAGAAGCGGAAGTCTTGGCCCTTGCCAGATTCCGCAGGAGCGGAAGGAGGACCGCATAGGCGGCCTTGCAGAAGCGAGCTAAACCTCGCAGGAGCGGAATTTGGAACCCTGGTCGGGTTTCGCAGAAGCGGAACACTGGATCGCTTAAGTGGTCCCGCGATGCGATTGGGGATCGCAGAAGCGGAAGGTTGCCTTAAGTGAAAGGTTCGCAAAAGCGGGCGTTGTCCGCATAAGCGGAAACCGCAAAAGCGGTACTGGATCCGCAGAAGCGAAATGCCTGGCAGTTAAGTGAAATTAATCATCTTCGCGAATTTTTGAAAGAACAACATTTTGGACTTCGGACTAAGGAGATTTTGGGCGATTTTTGAAGAGGGTTTCGAGGGCTATCATCAGGTATGGATTCTTGGGCTTAGATTATGTTATTATTGTTTATAAACATGAATTAACACTGAAAACCCAAGGAATTAAAGGGTAAAAATGGGGTAAGTTAGGGTTTGAGAATTATGATGTAAAAATGGAATTTGGAGGGTCAAACGAACTCCGATTTTGGTGAATTTTATATGTATGGACTCGTGACGAGACGAGGAATCCGGTGATGTTAATTTCATAATTTTTCAAGAAGCGGACCCGGGGCTCGGGTTTTGCTAGTTTCGAGATTCTTGCTAATTTTTGAATGTTTTCGATTGGGTATTGCTCCCCTAGCATATTGTGATGTATTCGCTCTGATTTTGGTTAGATTCGATGCGCGTGGAGGCCGATTCGAGGGGCAAAGGCATCGCGAGCTAGGGATTTCACCGGTTCAAGGTGAGTAATACTTGTAAATGATATCCTGAGGGTTTGAAAGCCCGGATTTGCACATCATAGTGCTGTATTGTGGTGACTTGCACGCTAGGAATGAGCGTGGGGTAGAGCACCGTTGGGGATTGTGACTTGGTCCGTCCCGGTTGTTGATTTTACTGCGTAATTGACTGAAACCTAATTGATGCTATCGTGATTTGGGTTGATTGCCATGTTTTAGGCTTCGTGCCGATTATTTGGATCCTTTAGGGATTATTATCACTGCTTTCACAAAACTTAGCATGTTAAATGACTTCAGTCCTAGTTAAACACTGTTTTGAAATGTGCAGTCATATTGCTAAAAGTTTAAAGACTTAAATTGCATTTTTCTGATGTTTTGAGTGAAAAGCTAGTACTTGACATTGCCCGAGTGGCATTTGCATGCATATATATATATGGACTGAGTGAGGATCGGGCTGCACGCCGCAGCGATACTATGATGATATTACGCTTCGGCTGTAGGAGCGCCTCCGGAGTCTGAACCCCCACAGTGAGTGCGGGTACCCAAATGGATCGGGCTGCACGCCGCAGCGGTCATGTGCATTGCATTGCATTCATGCATCGGTTCCTGTTTATACTACGTGTCACGACATTCAGCACTCTCATTTCATTGGCATTCATGCTTACTTCTTGCACTGTTTACCAGACGCCCTGGTGTTAATTGTTAGTAGAGTGCTGTGCCCGAGGGGCTGACTTATGTGCGGACTTGCATTATCTGAATACACATTCATTTGCTTGACTGTTGTAAAAGGATATTTTCAAAAGAGGTTTTTAAACTGAGCCAGATATTTTCTAAAGGATTTTTCACGGTTTTACTGTTTTCTAAAAAGGGTTGTACTGTCCTATATAGCATGATGGAGTGGTCATACGTGATTTCTTGCCTCTCAGTTATTATTTACTCTTATTACCACTGAGTTGGAAGTACTCACTTTACTCCCTGCACCTCGCGTGCAGTTGCAGGTATCGTTCACCCGGTAGCGGGTTATTAGCGGATTGAAGGTATTGTTATTGTAGCTGAGCAAGGTGACCGCCAGCGTTCGCGGCACCGGATGTTGTCTTTTGTTTTTCCAGAAATTCATTTTTGTATAATATTGGCCCTGTAGTTAAATCAGGTTCCTTTAGATGCTCGTGACTTGTGATACCTCGGTCGGGTTATGTGGGGTTGAAAATACCAATTATTATGGCCGTTAAGTTGTATTATTCTATTCACTTATGTTTAGTAACTGTTAAAGAAATGATTTGGGTAAGTTGGCTAGCCTTGTCTTCACGAGTAGCGCCATCACGACTGGGTATGGGAATTTGGGTCGTGACAATCATAGGGTTGGATTTCAAATAGATTTAGAAAGGCCATATAACGTTAAAATACTTTAAAGTCTGGGCCACAAAATGCAAGCCCAGGATATTGAAAATTTCAGCACAAATAAAGGGCATATTCTAAGTCTAACCATTAACATGCTATGAGTATTAATTGTGATGACTCAACAGGGTCATCACTTATTTTAGAAACAAATTCGGTGTTCCGAGGCCTAAATACCTCCTTTTTATCTCACCTCGATTTGCGTACATGATCCGGACCTATATCCGGAAAGCCTTCTATGTGAAAATATGAGAAATAAAAATTTCTGGAGTTAAAAAATTTGATTATGGTTGACTTTGGTCAACATTTTTAGTGAATGGACCCGGATCCGTGTTCCGACGATCCCGAGAGGTCCGTAGTAAAATATGGGACTTGGGCGTATGCCCGGAAATGAATTCCGAGGTCCCAAGCCTTAGAAATCAATTTTTGAAAGAAATTATTTTGCTGAGTTATCTAAGAAATGAAGAAAAGAATTAATATTTGAAACCATTTGTATCAGGCCCGTATTTTAGTTTCGGAGCCCGGTACAAACTTGTTGTAGTATTTAAATTATAACTGTGAAATTTGGTAAAAACCGGAGTTTATTTGACGTGAGTTGGATTCCGGTTGAAGAGTTATGAACTTTAAGTGTTCTTGATGAAAATATTGAGTTTTGAGGTTTAATTCATGGTTTTGAATGTTATTTTGATGATGTGAATGCACGAGTAGGTCCATATGATGTTTTTGAGTTAGTATGCACATTTGGTTTGGAGTCTCGAGGGCTTGGGTGAGTTTCGGGTAGGTTCCGGGATATTTTAGACTTAAAACATAGCTGTTGCAGGTTTAGAGAAGTTACAGATCTCTGAACCCGCTAGTGCGGTCCGCAATGATTTTGTGCTACCGCAGAGGGGCCTTTGCGTCCGCAAAATATTTCGTGCGGTCTGCGGTGGGGACTTTGCGGCCGCACTCGATTTTGTGCGGTCCGCGGTAAGGAAGAATCCGCAGGTTCACTAGTCTGACTTCGGAAGCCTATATCTTTTGATATACAAGGAACTTTGAGATTATTTAAAAATAAAAGTTGTAGCCATTCGTGTCTAGTTTTCAGAAAGGTAAAGAAATCACAATTTGGACATCAATAGAGAAAGTTATGGCCAAAATACTAAAGCATATCACTGCAGTCAACATTCTCCGCGGTGAGCTCCGGGGCCGCATCCTTTTTGTGCGGTCCGCGGAGAGGGTCTGAGAGGGGTATATTTAAACGGGACTTTCAGTTATTTTTCATTTTTCAAAACTCCAAAAACGTAAGAGGCGATTTCCAAATACACTTTCTTCTCCAAAACATTAGTAAGTGATTTCTAACTCATTTTCTTTACTCCTTAACTTCTTTTTACAAGATTTCATCCTAGAATCTAGGGTTTTCATGGTGAAATTGGGAATTTTTGAAAAAACCTAAGAATATTGAAATTTGGGGATTTAGACCTCAAATTGAGGTCGGATTCCAAAACCAATTATATATCCGGGCTCGGGGGTGAATGGGTAATCGGGTTTTGGTCCGAATTTGAGGTGTGGACCAAGCGGGTCCGGGGTCGATTTTTGACTTTTTGGAAAAAACTTTAGAAAACTTATTTCCATGCATTAGAATTGATTCATTTAGCACTTATTAATATTATTAAGTAACTTGTGGCTAGATACGAGCAAGTTGGTAGTGGAATCAAGAGGTAAAGTGATAGTTGAGGCTTGAATTGTGTTCGTGGCATCGAGGTAAGTGTTTGGTCTAACCTTAGCTTGAGGGATTAGGAGTTGTGTATTATCTGCTATGTGCTAACTGTGGAGTACGACGTATAGGCATGGTGACGAGTATCTATACGTCGGTGTCAAGCATGCCTGTGAGTCTTGTATTGTAATCGTTATGACTCCGTTGTGGTTTATTGTGCATCATGTGAGGATTATCATTATTGTTCCCTTGCCGGGATGTTGTTGTGGTACTATTGTTTCCTTGCCGGGATGTTTGTTGTGATATTATTGTTCCCTTGCCGGG